ACAGAATGTTCTGCATGCCAGAAGTTGACATTATTCAAAAACTGATTAATCAAACAAAAGTTAATTCAGAGATATTAAACAAAATAAAGATACCACCACCTACTTCATAACATCATGGAGTCAGACTGCTGCAGGCAGAATACCACCTCATGCTTTCTTGTTCTCAGATTTTTTAACAGATCTTTTCTATTGGTTATACTTCTATACTGCTATAGCAACAACCAAAGCTGATTTTTTGATTTCTAATCAGTGCACATTACTGCTTAAGCTACGGCCCATTGCCAAGAGCAGGATACTTGACCTGAGTGATGTTCGGTTTGACCTAGTATGGCTGCTCACACCATCAGTTGATTATATGAATATCTTATTTATGTAACTCATGTGAAAAGTCTCTTGCTCCTGAAAGAGGTCCACTCTGATCTAACCCATTCTGGTTTTCTCCTCTTGCCTGGGACAAGGCATATTCACCTCACATGTTTTTAATTAAAAAACTGTTTTGCTCAAACAGTGTATATAGAGGAAGATCCAAATTGAATTTCTGTTATCTTCTTTGAGTTAGGCTATGTTAACCTATTCAATGCTTCAATTCACTACTGGATAATCTGTCTGATTTTGATCACTTTGTTTAGGTGCTTATTGTATTGATTTACTCAGGTACCTGACCAGACTGCTAGGAGCCTAAAAACATTTGTGCTGTAAAGTGATCTAACATCCCTTCTGTGGAAGGCCATGGAAGCAGACGGATACATGCTGAGACTCTCTCCCTGAACGTTTAGTATGACATTTACAGCATGGACAGTCAATCAGACTGCGACTCATTCCTCTTCAAGAGATTGCTGTCTTTCCAAATTTTGCAGTCCATCAGCAAGGATAAAAACTCTTCTTAGTAGACATCAGTTACAAGAAAGCATGATATGGATTGATGTATTTGGAGACCAGTGCTTGTAAGATGATGGTTACGTTCTTCCTGTGCTTTTAAGGTTGCAAAACATACCCAGAAAAATCAAGATGTTGCATAGTTGTTTAACTGGTAAAATCTGTGTGTCAAAGCTTATGCTAATGCTGTCCACACACAAGATTTGGAAAATGCTCATAGGCACCTAACACATTCACTGACTTTGAGAAGACTCAGTGTGAAGGAAAAAAATTGAGGTTTATGCAAAAGATGCAACTTGAACAGAAAACACTCGTCAAAAAAACCCCCCAAAACATATATATATAAATATATCTATTTTTTAAAGCTAGTTAGTATACAGACCTACTAGCTAGGTATACTAATTGGAGATGGTTAACTGGAATTATTGCCAGAGTATGCTGATAGCTGATCTACTGAAACAGAAGTTAAGAATTCTAGACCATGAAAATGGAAGGTATTTAAGGTGCAAATTGAAAAATGATGAAATACTGAAATATTTCAGACAATGTCACATTGACAGATTAAGTTTAATAAGTAATTTAATAAGCTCTATGACCCCAATTAAACTTATGCATACTATTAATCCCTCTAAGCAATCCAATTAAAGACTAAAGCAGTCTTATGTGTTTGTACACAAAATGCCCTACTGAAGTGACTTTTAACAATGCAGCTCAGCAGAATGCTGGGATCAGCCAGAGCTCGGTGACCCTTACGTAGCTGGTAAGCAGAAAAAGTCTGTAAATTCACCTGCTTGGTGTTTTTCAGGTAAATGTTGTATTGCCCAAGGTAAATAGTGTTCACACACTGTTACCTGTGTTTCTCTTGCTTCACAGTTGAGGCTCGTTAGTACATCTTTCCTTTGCAAACTGTTCACTCCTAAAAGACAAGCTCACGGTATTTTGCACAACATGTAACAGGAAAAATATTCATCCTTCATCTTTGTTTCTTCCTCATTAGGAAATACTCAGGAAAACTTTGGGGAGAAAAATAAGATTTAACATCATTGTATTTATTAGGTTCTGAAACAATACACATTCACATCCTTTTGAATACAGTACATTTGGCACAGTAATAATGTTTACGATGAAATAACACTAATGAATGGCAAGAGATTCAAATTACATCCATAAGAAAAAAAATTCTGTACAAATAAATCCTCACAATAAAAAAAACCTACCCCCCCAACTGAATACATTTTATAGTTAGCCAGAACTATTCTGCACATAATTTAAAAAGAGGTAATTTGTGAGCCTTTTTTTGAGAGATTGATTTTTCACCCTATGGAGAAAAACATGTTTCCATTTTTTTAAAGTCTATTTGGGAGGAAAAACAAGAAACAATGGATTCTCTATAATTATTATTATTAATAATAATAACATTTTTGGCATTTTGCACTCATTTTACAAAGAAGGAACAGGAAAGATTTTACAGAACAGGCAGAAATGTAACAGAATGTCCATTTTTAAGAATTATCTTTAAAAAATGATCAAGGTAACAGATAAACCTTCTGATGTAAACCCAATGCAGAGGATCTAACTATTTATATTGAAGAAATACCTGCCCATGCAAAAGTTTTTATCTCCTTGACTTTTCTCTAGCATCCTAACAAACATTGCAGGTGCTGAGGCCTCTTGAACTACAAACGTTTGCTAATCATCTTCAGGTTAGAAACAGGAATACAGACTACACAGCTTGCTTACAAAAGCTTTATGGGATGCTTTTATTCCTTCAAAATAAATGCTCAGAGTTTTGTGTAAAGGCCTCTTGTTGTACAAACAGTAGTGCGCTACCCGGTAACTTGTCTTCCTAGCCAGTCTACTCACCTATGGAAAAGAACGCTTTAGCATTGTGATCAGTTCTTGCCTGGATGTCAAAAGCTAACCGTGATGAGAAATAAACAGAGCCAGTGGCGAGACACAAATTGATGGGCAGTTCTACAACATATTTCTAAAAGAGAAAGAAATTTAAACATTGAGATGATGCAATCATTAAGATGTTTCTGTGCTGGTACTCAGCTCCAGAAGCTAGTCTTTTCCCAGTACAAAAGATTACTGAAGATAAATTAAATTAAACTAAAGGCTTGATCCATTATTACACCTGTAGGCCAGACAACACATTAATTGATATATCATAATATTTAATATTTTGAAATCATCATAAGAATATATATAATAATTACACCTGAGTTTTAAAAACAAAACAAAATGGAACTGAATGTTGTCATCAGTAACAGGCTATGAGCAGCCAGACACAAAACTGACACAAACTAACTCATCTGCTTGAGACCGAGATTATCTCTTAAAGCCAATGATTCACACTTTGTCCACCACGATTTGTAACATTCCTTTCTCTTTCCGAGCTCTATCATGTCGTAATAGAGTTGAAGAGAACTATACAAGAGATTTAGTATAGCTTAATATATGTCTACATCTTTTTATAACAAAAACCTCATCTCTCTGACAGTAACTTGAACCAATACACATACAAGAGTATTGCACATGGACATTATTATAATTATTCTTTCATAGACTAACATTTTAATAGTATGCCTGAACATGCAGCAGTTGATACCTCTATATTCAATGATTTCCACAGGCCTTGCAGCAAACACTATATACAAAATCTCACCTGTACAAAAGGCAAAAAAGCTTCTTTAGTGCCACTTTGCCAATCACAAGTATATATATTTTTGTGCAGCTGGAAATCCATGTGCAACAATTAAAATGGATTCCAATGACCGCTCACTCAGTCCAGTAAAATATATAATAAAATGACCTCAGCGATACATGTACACAAAAAAAAAAAAAAACCCCAACAAAACCCAAAACAAAAACCAAACCTCAGGGTACTCCTGGAAATATAAGTACATAACACTGTTAGCGTATCTACAGGAGGTAACTTCACATTAGTAATATTGTCCACATGAGTTACCATTTCAATTAATACACAAAAAAATTCAATTTACAACTTTCAATAGTCAGTTTGTGAATGTTTGATCTTCAGTTTTTTAACACACTTCCACATAATGCATGTGTAGCCTTATTTTGTATCTTCTAAAAGCAGATTTATCTTTAGATTTTAAACATAAAAAACAACAAACACAGTAGTATTATGGTTTTGTAAAAGTGTGCAAAAGTAACACACTGCTGAGAAAATAAATATAAATAAGAAATTATCAACTTAGCTACAATGGAAAAGGCAAAATTATAATGTTTATAATTAATTTTTTATGTAAAATTAATTGTAAACATTTGCAAGCTTACCATCACGTTAATGGTTTATTTAAATGAATATTAAATTTGGTAACATGGATAGCATACCCAATTGCCTGAAAAACTGCAAAATGCCTATATATGTAATGTTAAATTACTATAGGCTTTTTATTCTTTAGCCCTTTAATAACTATCCATATAGTATCTATTTCCTACTTTAAATAAAATTTCAGTTATCTTTGTGACTCTTCTTATTCCTGAGAGTTTTCCATAAATTGTACTAGGGATTTAATCAAAAGTCTTAATTGATGTACTTTTTCTCAACAGCTTTATTTTAAGTTTGTACCTCACCACAATAAATTCATAACTGAGGATTACACCTCCACGAAGGCAGACTTCTTTGCTCACCAAGGGGCAACATATTACTTATTTGTTCCACATCTGAGCGCAGATCTCGCCATAACCACCAGTGCAGAAGAATTAGTTCTCACCTTCTTAGCTTAAATATGCATGATGATTACAGAATTTGAGCTGGTAAATTGCTTTTAATTGTGAGTCTTCATTTTCCATGGAAAAGATGCAATTTTGTCCTCTGGGGAGATCTTAGGAATAAAAGAAAAGTTGCAAATATATGGCAGTGTGTTACATCTACAATTGCTGATACAAAATTATTTTGCATTGCTTTGTGAGACAGAAATTAAGAGTGCTTTCAGGTCAGAAGATTAAAGGAAAAAAACAATAAATATATATTTTAACTGGGGATATGGGCTCAGGGTAAGAAAAGTAGTTCTTGATCTACTGAGTCTCAGTAATTTGATGATCTCTTCAGAATCACTTCTTGCAGCATCATTCATCTGTCAGCCTAACGTCGTCTACGGCAGTAGCTCTTCTCCAAAATAAGAGAACCCTTTAAATTCTTCTTGATTGATTTGTTTTATAATTGCCTCATCCACTAGCGTTAATACTGGTTCTTCTCGTGTAAAGTCTTGATCAAAGTTATTTACATCCCTTTTGGTTTTCTGAGAAGAAAAATACAAATAAGGTGAATGGTAAAACAGCACAGTAAAATATAAGGTGCTTTCCCTCCTTCTCCATCCCCCCCGAAAGGCTGAATTTTCTGAAATGATTGAAATAAAAGAGGAGCTACTTCACACAAGGAATAACAGATGTATGAGAGAAGCTATAGGAGCAAATATTATAAATGAGTTCAGGAGAGGCCACAGAAGCAGTACTATAAATGAGTTCCCAGAGACTCATGAGTCTCTCTGATAGGCGAAGGAATAGCAGTATGATGATAAAGCAGGAAGCTGAGATTAGGACTAGTTTAAAAAAGGCTTTGGCATAGTTGGTGGTACCGCTGTTTCCTCTTAGATTTGAACATAATGATACCTCATTTCGGAGGCACAGAGCGAACGTATTTAATTGATTTCCCCACAATACAGCCTACTGTTTCAACTCTAAGTTAACTGTTCATTTATATTTGGCTACACTCAGCTTTAAAATCAGATGTAGACCTTGCAACGGCTCTCGGACCAAAATCCTCGAGCTCCACATTGGCACCTTAGGTTTCCTAATGCAGCTGAATGTCATTCAGAGCACCATGGCAAAGTGTGAAATTCTGGCTCCAGAGAAGTCCACCTCAGAACTCTTCTTTATTTCGGTGGCATCAGGATTTCCCCACTGAAGTCAGAAGCACCTCGCTCCTTCAATTAAGTTGGGCCAACAAAGTGCAACTGTACATGTTCTGGTTGGGATAAGACGTATTAACTAGAGACACTCTTGGAGAGGCCAACTCGTTGTCCTCAGGGCACTTACGACAGTGACTATCTGTGTCCACTTACATGTAAAATAAGTTAAGGCTACAGGGGAAAACATTCCCCATTGTCATTCCCTTGAGACCTGCACCGTTCGTATTTTCCATGTTAGCAGCATCTCAGGCACGTACAAGTCTAGGGAACTGGAAAAAGCATTTTCCTTTACATTGTCTCTTTTCTCTTTGCTTCATGAAATCTAATAGTTACCCGAGTGATACTTAATGGAAGCGCACTTGACACACTGAAACCCAGCTTTGTGCCCATCCTGCACGTCTGAGATTAAGATGACACTAGAAATACAATAGGTATTTGACTTGCAAAGTAAAATGATAAAATAATAAAGTGATACATCTTAAAGTACATTAATGTATTCTAAATGGGATATACGTGCCTTCTTTCAATGTTGGTAAATTTTCCTGTAAAATATATATACATGTAAATGTATTTTCTTCATCAGCTCTACTGAGGTACTAAAACAAATAGTTTTCTTTCTCACAACTGTAAAATAGTCCTAGCAACCTTCACCTACATTGTTTGTAAGAACTTTACAGATATAGGGAAAAAAGGTTTATATAAATGCAAGAGACTGTCACTTGCAAACCAAGTACTTTTTAAGTGCAGGCAATAAAAAATCTGCATCCTCTATATACAGAACTCCATTAAAAGGAAAGGAATATGGACTTAACAAACACCCATATATATATTATTATATTGTTTACATTAGTAGTACTTCTTTTGTACATAAAGACTGGACATAAAGGGTATGTGACCCATATACTCTGAACTGCATAAAGTGTGAGGGACATGGCTTTGGGCTTTATGTTTTGGTGGGGTTTTTTTTTTGTTTGTTTCTTTGTTTTTTTCCCCCAGTCATTTGGGCAAATACTACGAAATAAGAATGAAATTCCATATGAATTTTTAAATGCATTGCACTGCAACTACATCTACATTCTTCTTGTTCCTCATGTCCTACCGTAGTATTTTCACACACTCATACAATGAATTTGCTACTGCAATAGTCACTAAAGCAGAAGGAGGTAAGTGAATATTCGTAGAAAGTAGAATTCAAATTCAGAACTGTAGTTATGTGCAAGAGAATCGTGACTACACTCACACTTTAACCACTAGCTATCCAGGGCAAATAAGCTTGGGACTAATTGAGAACAAATACAATATATATTATTTTCACATTTTCATACTGAATGTATTTGTGAAAAGTGTTATTTCTTTGCTGAAGCTAAAAGAATAAGATGACAAATTCCTCAAATTGTACTTCCAGTAGAACTTTGAATCCCAAACACTTCTGAAACAACAACCAAAGGTATTTGCTTAGATTTAAAAGCCTAGCATGTCTTAAAATATACCTCCAAGACCAAAGAAGGAAATAGAAGTTTTTACTTTCTCAGGTTTACAAACAATTCCATGTCTTTTTGGCAGCATAGATGTAAACCACCCTATTTATTGACAGGACAAGTGTGGAGGAATCTAAGATTGCAAGTATATACTAGCAAGCCTCTAACCAATCAATTAATGAAGTGAGACTAAATAAATCACAGAGAACAAAAGTGAGTGGATTAAGCCATACAAGACAAAAAGTAGAGTTAATAAAACAAGTGCTTCTTCTCAACAGAAAGAGTTATTTGAGAAACCCTCCTTAGCAACTTAGGCACTTTCTTCCTGAAGCTATAACTATTTTGCAAGGCCCCATCTGCTAAGACGAAACAGGTCTGGCCACATTTCTGCTACTCTTGCTATTTTAATGTACTTGCACTGTGAATACTCTATAGGCCAATAGCATGAACCAATAGATAGTTGCAGCATGAGGGCTCAGGATGAAGGTATGAAGGGCTGTGGCTGTCTCCTAGCAGAGAAGCTTAGAAAAGAAAGAAGATCTGCAAGGTGAGGAAAGTATATGAAGAAAACAGAGTTCAACCTTGAGCATTAAAAAAAATCATGAAGAAAAAAGGAAAAATCTTTAGATTGTCTGGCAAATGCATAGTTAAAAATGCAGTAATTAAATGGGTGGGGTTCTTTTTATTTAGCCTGCAGCTCCTGAGGCTTCAGGATACATTATTTTTAACTTTTTCCAACTTTTTTCCTTCTCAATTTCAGATGATTGAAGAAACTAGGGTTATTAGGAAAAAAAAGAACCCCCAAAACCACAGCTGTCCACCCAAACACACAGAAATTCGACTACATTTCAGATGCTACTTTTTTTCTCTCTAGACTACCCAAACACCTTTGTTCAGCATGTGTCAATACCAGATGAGAGCAGGGGCACAGCAGCTACTCAAGACCTTCCAACATAGGTGCCAAATTCTACGCTGCACTGAAACTGCTGTACTGCAGGCAGCAGGTGGGTAGTCCATCTCTATCTGACAAAGAGCAGCAGCAGCGCCATGGCATTTGCAATGACTAAAAATGACACAGCTCCAATTCTAAACCTCATCTGAAACAGGGCTTCTCCACCAGCACGGTACCTCTGACAGTCAGCCGGAACAGTGATTCACTACCTCTTGTGCAAGAAATGTGCCAGCTAGTTCATGTCTTATTTTTTCCAGCAGTGGGAATGTTTCATAGGTCTCCCACCTGAGTAATGACCCAGTGTGACCTGCTTAACCTGGGAAACATGGTGGACCTGCTTCATGTCGGTGACACGATCTGATTAGATGTAAAACTTATGTTACAGAAACAGAATCTCTCGAATTAATAAATATTAACAAGACCTACTACCCATCAAGGATGACAATTTTTAAGTCAAAGTAATGTTTTAGCCTATTCAAAGATTACTGCTTCTGTTTGAGGAGCTAAAGGTATCAGAAATTTTAAAAGACACTCACTTCATAAAATACCATTTAATTATTTTTCCTAGTTGGCCTGTAAAATTTTGGACAAATAATGTTTTATGAGTCAAAATGCTTTTTTTCTTAAATCTCTTCACATAATTACTAAAAGATTAAAAGGAACTTCATATGCTATTAATAAGCACACATTAAGCAGTGGTTTTCTGAACTGGGTTTATTTTCACTACCATTTCAATGAAAAATTAATTTCCTACCTGTAATCACAGACTCAAGCTTAAAAAAACCCTCCAAAACATGCTTAATATGCTTTCCAGTGTCAAGGATTACCAGCTTTGTCTGTTAATGATTACTAAATGGCACTATATGAATTGCAACAGTGAAAAAAGAAAACTGAGTTGATGTTCTTATCACTGAAAATACATTAAGAAAGTTAGAAATTGCCATTCCTTCCATTAATCAGATGAACTGAATGTGAATGACAGGAGCCTTTGGTATTGAAAGGCCACAGAAATCCTTGCAAGAAGGCACCTAACAGAGGGTGTTCCAAACCAGGGAACTCAGCAAAGTTTGGGCACCTGATCAGCTGTGACACCAAGCTGTGACAAGAGGCTGAAGTGGACTCTCTTCTGCCTAACAAGCACCAAATTAATTCTCCAGCTTGGAGGCATTAAGAGGCATCTGTCTCTACTCCATTATTTGTTTTCATTTAATTTGCAGAAAATCACCAAAACTTGAATTTCAAGTCCTTTGCAAGCTTAATGGATCCACTAAATTGGGCTGGAAATGTCTGGTGGGTTCAAAGCCTACTCAGAAGAGATGAAAGGAAGATGGAGGTGGTGGCTAGAAAACAAAACTGCCACAAAAGCAAAATTTTTCTATTTTAGTCTCATTTTCCTACAAATTCACAATATGCTGTTTAAATATAACTGTAGGAATCCTCTTTAAATCAATTAATAGATTGCTGTTTAGATTAGTAGAACGAGGAGCTAATCCAGAAGAGATAGCCAATACAAGTGAATCATGGAATCATAGAATGGTTCGGGTTGGAAGGGCCCTTAAAGATCATCTAGTTCCAACCCCCCTGCCATCAGCAGGGACACCTTCCACTAGACCAGGTTGCTCAAAGCCTCATCCAACCTGGCCTTGAACACTTCCAGGGAGGAGGCATCTGCAACTTCTCTGGGTAACATGCTCCAGTGTCTGACCACCCTCACAGTGAAAAATTTCTTCCTAATATCTAATCTAAACCCACCCTCTTGCAGTTTAAAGCCATTTCCCCTTGTTCTGTCATTAACTGCTCTTATGAAAAGTCCCTCCCCAGCTTTCTTCTAGGCCCCCTTCAGGTACTGGAAGGCCGCTGTAAGGGCTCCCGGAAGCCTTCTCTTCTCCAGGCTGAACAGC